ATTGGCTCTCCGGTGCCGAAAGAAAATGGATTCTCAAAGAGACCCATCTTGCACTTGGTGATAAGGATCCGTGAGACTGCGGAGTCAACGTAACGCTCCCCGCAGCGATCAGCTCAGGAATTGTCCGGTAATTGAACGACCCGCCGCCCATCTCTACGTGGTTCCCAGCGGTGAGTGCATACATGGTGACGGCTCCCATGACACCGGGTTCGCACACGCCATGTGCGTTGCAAATTCTATCCGTTGCACCAGCCTGCAGAATTTAACGTCAGCACGGGGTTGAATGAGTGATATTTTATGAACAAACTCACATTTGGCGTGGTACTTGTAACCCCACTTCTTCTTGCGGATTTCGGTAATCAGCAACTGCTGGCACACCGGCATACGAGTGGTAGGCGCTCATAACGCTCCATGCTTCTGCATCGATGATAGCCCGTTTGAACGCCGGCAAGTGCGCTCGTCGCATCTCCATGGACCGGTGCGGTGTTTAGCCCGCCCTCTGGTGTTCCGGCGCCGGCGAAGTGCTTGACGGCGGCGGCGACACCGTGGCCCTGCAGGCCCTTGACGAATGCGTGCCCAATCTCTCCCGCCAGACGGGCATCCTCGCCGAACTTCTGCCACACACCGGAGTTCCCTCGCCAGATCGACCACAAGATGGTTTACTCCCAGCGCCAGACTCTCTCTCGCAACGGCTTTTGCCAGCTCGTAAACCCGCTCAGGGTTCCCAGGAGCACGCATACGCGATCGGCGGGTTGAAGCTGGTCGCGTTTTGGATCAAGAAGCCGCGGATACCTTTTGAACGGGCCATCATCAGCCAGTCAGTCAGTCAGCGCCGAACGCCCGAGGATGAGGAAGATTTCGTGGTACCTTCCGTCTGGGCCAGGGCGGGAATGCCCTGGGCAATCGAGTCTCCTCGACAAGATACTTCTGGGCTCGCTCGGTCCCAGTCCCACGCGGCACAGGATAGCCAACGTAAAACTGGCCAGCTTTGGTCTTCATGTTCTCGACCAACCCTCCCTGTCCGGCTGAACTTCCCCCGACGTCGTCGTGTTGAGCCAGTTGCTAATGTCGCCCTGCATCAGCTGCGCTACCTTTTCCTCCAGCGTCATCAAAGAAACCAAGTTGGCGACGCATTCAGCAATGGGTCCTTGTATGGGTATGTTGCATTCGTCTTTTGGGCAGCAGCAGCAGTGGCAGCACCCCCCAGCATCCGACGAAAAAAAAAGGGGGGAGGGGGTGGGATGGCTCTTCAATTCCAATTACTGGGACTTTACCATAAAAGATCTGAATTAATTAACATTCCACACATGGAAAAACAAACCAAAAAAAAAAAAAAAAAAAGGCCAAAGTCATCGGAATCGCATCGATCCATCCCGGTCGCAATTTGCATGCGGAAGCCCCGCTCCCAATCTCCCGAAAGTTGACTGCAAGAACGCCGGCTGGAAGCCATCTCAACAGCGAAAACACCGGATACCCCCCCGGGCATGGCAGTGTAAAACAGCCGTTCGGTACTCTTTGTGCCGATTCCAGACATAGTAAAAAAAAAAAAAAATGTCGAACTCTATGTGCCCGCTCCAGCCTGAAAGAACCAGTAAAACAGTACCCATACTAAGGTACATGCATGCAATACTTTCCCGAAAGCCTATATACCAAAACTTCACACCGACACCCAAACACGTAAATTTTGGTCCTATCTACCTACCGAGGTCGGTAGGTTGCGAGGACAATTCCTTACCGCCCCGGGCGTCCGGACACAGCACGGAGAAATTGATCCTCTCGGAATCCACTGTTATTGAAAAAAAGCCAGCGAGCTTATGAACCTCCCGGCTGGACTGTACGCTTGTTTTGTGTTTGTGTTTTTTCTTCGTCGCTGTCAGCATGCTGTGGAAGCTCAATGACTGTTCAGCCTGATCGTTTTATGTTCCGATCCCGCTGGCAAGGAAATCACTGGTCAAGAGGCCAGCCCGTTGGTAAGCAGCCTAGCTCTTGACCAAAGAGCAAGCTTTACAACGAGGCGGGCAAGGAGTCGTTACGCCGACCGACAAATGGAGGGCTTTCCGACTCGGCTGATCCCGTCCACGAGTCTGAGCTAGAAGGGAAGAAGAGCACACTTCGGCGTTCGGGGTTTCTGTCTTTTGGTGTTGGACACGTGCACATGCTGAGGTTATGTATGCTAGCAAAAGGTGAGGGGGGCGAAGGTAGTATAACGGTGGAAGAGAAACTGCTTGCACGAACACTGCTTCATTGGACGGGCTTCGCCGTTCTGGTCGGCTGCTTAAAACATCGGCCGTTGGCGGCTGGCTATTGACGATTCCACGCAAAAAGACCAAAGAAAAAAAGCCAGACGCCCAGGCTCCTTCCATTTCTGGCTAAACCGTACGCCACCCAGCAAGCACAAACGCCGATTTCTCAATGAGAGCCCACTCGGCAGCGATCCTTCTCTCTGCTGCCTAAGGATCGCACAGCGTGAGAGGTGGAGACGTAAGTTACGACGCCGGAGTCCAGCACTTGGGTCAGCCAATCCTGAATTAACATCTGGATGTTGGGTCGATAGTCTGTTCGCTGATAACCGTAACTCCCTCCTGGTTGAACATGCGTACCTGGACATGTCATCAGTTGATCCATTTACTCCGGATGTAGTAGGAAGCTGATCTAGAGACCGAGAAGAACTCCAGCGCAGCCACTGCAAGCTGGACATCTAGTAAGTATAAAGAACCGTCCGCATGTTAAAAAATAGCAGGACGCAATAACGCACTACCTTTCCGTCCAGGACCTTTGCAACTTGCTTGAGGTGCTGGTCTTTTAAGGAATAGAGTTGCACGCGGGAGAGCGGAGAAACTACCGAATGGGAGGGGCACAGGATATTGCCGGATCCACTTAACGACATGTAGGTTTGTCAAGACTCAAGAATAGTCCTTCGCCTATATAGAGAGCTGTACAGAGACTACGCCTTGCGGTAGCTTACGATGAGAGTTGATACAGACCCTGTACGTCGCCTTCGCTGTTTCCGCCATGGTGTTGTTGCTAGGTGCTAGGAGAAGTCCTTGACTGGCTGACCAAGCGCCGGTGCGTTTGAAAGAGCAACGGCCCGCCGTAAGGTATCAGCCATCGATATTCTCAATAGCCAGCCAGCCGGGCTGGCTGTCCAAAAATCCGGGCTGTGGACTGCATGCTGTTGCTCGGGAATTGTCGCTTCACCGGATATCACTCTATCAATTCGCGCCTTTTACGGACAGAGGCCACAGCCGGCCCGTTTTCACGGCCAGACCTGCAGCCTGTGCATTTTGGGCCAGCTATTGAGGAAACTGTCGACCATGAGCCCTAGCGGAATTTCGGGATCTGCGATCCTCTGGCGACCTCTCGAGAGCCGTATCGTACGCTTTTGGAATCGGCTCTTACACATTTGCGGCCGCCACCAGAAGAGGCCTTTGATGATCGGAGAGCCCGGGCGGAAGATCCAGCTCCGACTCGACACCGGGATAGTCGTCAGAGTTGACTGAATGGTCCCCGAAAGTAGACACGGAGTGGGCGGACGTTGCGAGATGGGGGTTCGTTCCGGCATTTCATACTTCCATGCCCACTAGGGGAGTTCAGACTGGCGGGTTTTGCCGGGTTTTGGTGGTATGGTTTCGACGGAAAAAAAAAACCCGCGAAAAACCTGGTTTTGGTCTGAACTCCCCCCATTGGCTCATCTCGTGTCGCCGCTTTCCGCGGTTCTCCCTCTGCTTAAGTTTCCTCAGCCGCACGCCCGCACTATATACAGGACACTTTTGGGGACGAACGGCACGATGAGAATTGCCGGCGCCGGAGCCGATCTTTTCTAAGTAGCAAACGTGCTATGTATGGAAACATGACAGCTCCGGAGAATCTTAATTGATGGCCTAGAGCAGCGGGCAATGGATACATCGCGATCGCCTCAAAAAACGAGGAGACACGAGAACTAGAGTTTGAGTACATAGGTGTCCTCAGCCATACCGCGCGATCGGGTGTCCCCAGCCTTGAGAAGCCCGTGACAACCTTGATCCACAGAGTGCTCGTCACGACATAACTACATATTAGCTGTCTTACATACAATTATACCTGTGATTCTCCAAGGCTAGTTGCGAGGAACAGCTAGGCTGTGTGTCAATGACCCAGCCAGCCAAAGAGGCCATGACCGGCTGGCTGCCTTGGCAGCCCATGCAGCCAGACTTCGCCGTCGCTGCAGTCCACGCACATACCAAGCAGCCGGTTCGACGAAGAGAACCACAGTGTTCAGCCTAAAAAGCCATGGCTCCAAAGCCCGCAGCTCGGCAGACTTTGAAAGAACGAGTGCTCAGCAACTTACCCGCTTCTTGTTCTTTCACACGCTTCACTATATCACCGGAATAGAGCTTATGCTTCTTGTGCTATGAACGGGTGCGCGAAAGTCTCGCACCAAAGCATGCTCTCTATCATCCAAGGTGCTCTTCGCTGCAGCCAATCCGCTTTCGGTTTGGCTACTCAGAGCTTCGACTTTCTTCTCGTTTAACGTTCTTGCTCTCGATTCGGGAATTGTCGACATCTCACAGTCGAGCTATAAACGCCGTCCGAGATCCTCCTCCCCCGGCGGAGGAGGAGGAGTTTACTCGTAACGGTCAGATCCCTACCAATGCTATGACCTACAGGAGATGCCTCCTGAATAGCAACTTTAGCCTTACCGCTTTATCGTTCCTCAGGGATTGAAGATTTCATCTTGTTGGTTGAAATCGTAAACTCCCTCTCTCTTTCTCTCAGAGAAAGAAAGAAAGACGAGGAGAGAGCTAGCTCTTTCTGCTTACATCGCACCCTTGAGGCTGTCCATCAAAGAGTTCAAAGACGGTGATCCTGAAGTTATCCTCGCCAACATAAGTTATGTATGGTGGCGGCACAGAGCCAGAGCTTCCCTAGGTGACAATTAAAGCCTTCTACCAAACCAAACCAAACCAAACAAACGAACTTAGTTGCTCCATCAAAAGAAAAAGCCAAAAAAAAAAAAAAAATGCGCCAAACCCGGATTGAACGGGTGACCTTCAGATTACCCCGGATATTGGATATGACCGAATGATGGACTTCAGTCTGACGCTCTCCCAACTGAGCTATTAGCGCTTGCTACATTGATTGGTCGTTCGTGGAATTGAACACCGTCAACCAACATTCTAGTGAAAGCAACTATGGGAGTCTCTGGTGAGTATTTAATGTTGCATCGGGGAACCATCAAGTTTGTGGTTCTAGGTAGGTAGGTATGTAGGCCTGGAATTGTCACAGAGAGTGGCGCAGCACAATGGATGGATGTTTTGCGACCCGCAACCGTGGAAAAAGTACACAAATAGCTAGGGGACATCCCGGAGCAAAAATAAAAACAAAAAATACCAGCCTTCAAGTCGTAAAACAAAGATGTGGATTTCTACCTCCCACAAAAAAAAAAACCCCCGTCCTACTCAAACACGTAGCTCACATCATCCAAATACACAACCCACGGATCCAGCTGCACGCCGAGAGGAGGAGGAGCGCGAGCCTTAGTCGTCCCGATAAACGCGACAACCTCAAACGAGTGCAAGCCCGCGAACCCGGGGAGCTCCACGGAACGCACAGCCTCGCTGTAGTACTCGACATGCGCGCTCGCTCGCAGCGTGCCCGCGCGGTCGTACCCGTTGAAGTACGTGACCAGGACGGCATTCGGGTCATCATTCAGGAACTGTAGGGTGTCAACAAACCTCAACGGGGGAGTTGAGAGGGGAGCAAACAGTCCAGTGCCAGCGGCCGGCATAGCGCAGCGACGTGATATTGAACAGCCGCCCCGAGCTGCTCGTGAAGCGGACGTTGTCTTCGACTTTGAGCACGTTTGGCGGCGAGGCGGCCTTGTTCCATGGCCCGCTGCCGCTGGACGACGGGTGGCACGTTTGCGTTACGGTGCTGCGGTGGGTTAGCGCGGGAAAGGCGGTGAGGGGGAGGGGAGGGGAGAGAGACGTGTTGTAGACTGTTGCCGTGCTCCCCGGGCTGAGGATATGGAAGCCGTGGTAGCTCTCCGTCGTGGAAAATGTGTACGTCCCGCAGGTGGACGTGTTGGGTATGGCCAGGTCGTCGAACTGCTTGTGTTAGTCGGGAGGGAGTGGGAGGCAGCGATGTGTATACGTTGAGGACTCCGGAGTCTGCGCGGCCGTGGGCTGGGAGCAGGAGAAGGAGGAAGGAGGTGGTGGTGATGGTGAGTTGGAGACGCATTTTTGGTGTTTAGCTTTTAGTGGTGAGTAGCTATGGGGAGGTGGGGGGGGGGGGGTTATATACGCCTGAGATCGAGGTCGTACATTTGTTTATTTTTAGGGGGCAGCATGTTGACGGACTTTTTGTACCAGTGTTCTTGGTTCCATTCGATTCGTCTAAAATATCCCCCCGTAGGCCTTTGACCCCCCAGAGATGGGAAAATTGTAACCTCTGGATACACAGGCTTGTGGTAACGTTTCTGCTCTGACGGTTGATTGGTGTTACTTCCGCTGTCCTGGCCCTTTGTGGGACATATGTCAAGGAAGGGAGGACAGCTAATAATGGAATGGTGTGAAAGAATCGTGGGACTTGGTTGAAGCGCATATCGCGGCTAACACTAGTAAGCGCGAATGCGGTATTATGTTGCGCTTCGAACTTCAGATTGGGGGAAATACAGCCTTTGTGATCCGACGGGCCGGTTTTTTTTTTCCAACTAAAAGCCGCGGGTTGAGTGGGATGAACTATCCGGGCGCTCTAGGAGTATATTCTGAACTCGCAAGATTGTGCTTTTCGCGATATTAGAAATTCGAGGTCCAAGTTCAACGTCAGGTTGAAGATGCAGAAAAAAAACAAAAAAAAAAAGAACAAGAACAAGAAAACCCAAGCCTCGATTCAGCGCAGGTAAGTAGAAACATAATTTTTTTATATCACACAGAACCTCTTTTTGAAAGCCTCGCAAATGACCCTCGCAAATGCACTCGTAAATGCCAGCGAGATTCGTGCCTGATGAAGTTGTTATTTACGGACGAGCCGCAGCCGGGTTGGTGAGGGAGATGGTATCGCAACTATCACAATCAGTCTCCATCCACTCATCGTTAGGGGGGGGTGTGGGTACTCACGGATCATCGCCAAACTGAATGTTGCATCCTTCGAGGATGTCGCTCTTCCGCAGAACTGGAAATGCCTTGAGCGCAATGTCCGTCTTTCCCCAGACGACCCTTCCCTCGAGGAAGCCACCACTGTTCCTCTTCACCATGGCACTCTCGACATGCAGCGGACTGGAAATCTGGTTGGCCAGTATCCTCAGGATCGCAGTCTCATCAAGTCCCTTCAGGTGCTCCACCGACCCACCCACAAGCTCCTTATACGCGTCCTTCAGCTGTTGGGCATCCACAATGCCAACAATACGGATAATCCGTCTGGCACCCTTCTCCATCGCCTCACGCAGACGGCCACTGAGAACATCGACCTGGTTGTGCGGCTCAACAAAAATGCAGGTGTTCTTGTAAGTAACTCCGTTCGCAGTGCGAGCAAGGAATGCGTCCGCAGTGGTCTGGTCCACGAAGTATACGGCTGCGCGGCCGGAACCAAGTATTTCGAAACGCTCGATGACACCAGTGTTTTTGCAAATTGCCGTGAGATCGGAGAGACGTGCGCGGGGGGAGAGGTTCCGAAGAAGGACCGAGCGCTTTTGGGAGGGTGCCCGACCGCGGACCTCAGCTGTGGGCCAGGCGGTGAAGATCATGCCCTTGGTGTTGACGTTACTCGCTATGAGCGGAGCAGTGGCCACAACAGGGGTACCGTTGGTAGAACCAATGTTGGCATTGGCTCCAACGGTAGGAGTGACTCCAGTTCCGTTGCCCACAGTAAGCCCAACGAGCGGCCTCTTGGGAGGAATGCTTCCAATCGCGGCAGCGGGAGCGCCGGTTGGGTTCGGCACGGTGGAAACAGGCTTGTTAGCAAAGCCAGCGTTGGCACTTGGTCCAGCATTAGGGGTTAGAAATCCGCTGAATCCAGTTTCGAATCCAGTTCCATTGCCCGCAGTAATTCCCGAGAGCGTAGTCGCAACTGGGGCAGAGACGGCGATAGGCTTGTTGCTATCGCCAGCCACTTCCTTGTTCTGGGGAAGAGCAGGAGTAGTCGCCATCCTAAGATGGGGCGGAAGGTGTTTCCGTGATGCCACAATCTCCTTGAGGTTTTCGAAGGGAGCGACTTTGGCCTCCACCATCTGAGCCTGCTGCTGAGCTTTACCGATCTCCATCTCCTCCTGCTTGCTGACCACATCCCTAAGGTGCGGCGGCACCCAGTTCAATCCGCCGGCAGCAACCTTGCGCTTACCCTCGTTCGAGTTAACGGCCGCTCCTAGGAAAGGGTCAGGAGCAGCAGGCTGGACCTCCATCTCGCTACTCTTGATCGGCTCGCGAGTACGATGCATTTCCGCGAGTGCCCGCGAGAACATAGCCTGCACGAGGTCGACTTTGCGCACGGGCGGGGGGCTGAGGGTGGCGTTGCGGTCCATTTTTGATTTGTCGTCGATGCTGTGGAAGCGGTGGTTACGCGTAGATGGGAAGGGTGTAGATGGGAAGGTATGAAAACGGAAAGAAGTGGTGGCGAGGGAGGGAGGGAGGGAGGAGAAGGAGAGCAGGAGGTTATTGTCGGAAAGAGGGCATGGGAAGAGGAGGACAAACGTCCGGCGGCGATATAGCTGTGAAAAGCGTCCGGCGTCGACGTTAACAAATTGTTTGCAAAAAAAGACGTAAAATAATACGCGGATATACACTGACACCACCACCACCGCCACGACGCAATCTACACAACGACAATATCCACCCAAACCGGGCGATGATCACTAGCCAGCCTTCCCTGATCCCACCAATTCTCGCCGACTCTATACCTCCTTGCGCTCCACGCCGTCCCCATCGCCATCACAAAGTCAATGCGCTTGAGATCCATCTTCTCCCACCTTTCAAACCCTGTGAACGTTGCGTGATGCCCACTCCTGTTAACCGGCTCGGTAGCGTTTGCGACATCTACAAACAACCGGCTCTTCTCCTCCGCTGTTGCGTACTTCTTGTGGAAGTCCGCTGGTATTTGAACTGGACCTCGCAGGCCCGTCATGATTGAGTACCCCCCGCAGTCGGGGCCGGTGCTGGGCGAGTTGAAGTCTCCGAGCACGAACACGGGACCGCGGTGATGGCAGACTTCGTAGGCGGCGCGGTACAGGATCAGGGACGCGGCGAGCTGGCGCTGCGGATCGCTTTGATGATCCCAGTGGGTGCAGATTACAGTGAAATTGCGGCCTCTGGGGGTGAGGGGGCGAAACAGTGCGCGGGTGGCGGTACGAACGCAGCCGACGCCGGGAAATTTCGATGGTTTGAACGGCGTTGGGGAGAGCCAGAACTGCCAAATCATCATCAGATTTATGTACCCCCTTCCCTACCTTTGCTGTTGGGATATACGGTGTCACACTCCAGGAGCTCCAGGGTGTCGTTTCTCCAGAATATCGCCTCGTACTCTCCGGCCCGCACTCCGTCATCACGCCCAACTCCGACCCAGCTGTAGCTGTCGCCGAAGAGATCTGAGAGATCGTGTACTTGGCGCGTGAGAGCCTCTTGAAAGCCGATTATTGTCGGCTGCGTAAAGGAGACTTCTTGCGCTACTGCGATTCGACGTGTTGACCAGGGGGCTTCCTGCGGGGAAGAGTAGTAGGTTACATCCTGATCTGTTGGGATCGAGGCGGGAAGGGTGGCAATTGTTTCGGAGATAGGAATTGAGTCTGGTTTTGAATCGTACCGGAGGTTCCAACTCAGCAAGCGCAGGGGAAGTGGGGTGGCGAGGGCCGTAGCGGCTAGAAGGAGGAGACTGGTCAGCTTCGCGATTGTGACAACGAGGACGTCGGATGTGCAATGGGAAAAGAAGGACTGATGGCGGCACATTCCAGTCCAGCACTGGCAGACGGGAGTGCTTCCGACATTGGAAGAGATTCGATGGTTTTACCAGATGTGGAGGCATTCATCAGTGGGGCGAGAGTTCCATCTGCGATTTCATTTTTTGTGGGCGTTAGTTTTTTTTTTTTTTTTTTTTTTTTTGGGGGGGGGGGGGGAGGGGTGACAAGGAGGGCTTCAGTC